GGTATATCATGACAAGAAGTACATATTTAGAAGACCAGAATGACAGGCATTCCAAGCTTGACCCTTCTATTACACATTGCTATCTTCAGTCCAGTTGCTTGGTTCGCAGGTATCAGCATATATAGTTAGTCAGGGTGAGAATCCTACCAATTAACTGCTAGTTTCAAAAACCTCCTGATGTTTCTCAGGAACATTGCCTTATCCATTTTGTGAGTATAAATGTATGGCTTTGCCCCTGTCATTTTTCCCAGCTTTTCTCCTTGCCCTCTCCTCATTGTCCAATCCTCAAGTTCTTGCTTTCCTTTTAATTGTGTTATACTTTTCTATTTGTAATTCTTCTTTTGAGTTCTTATACTAGGGATACTATATGATATTTACACATGTGCATCTGGTTTATTTCACTTATAAGTGTATCTTCAAGTGGCATCCACTTAAATATGAAGGCTTTGAGTTTATCATTTTTTGTAGCTGAATAATACTCCATTGTACATAAACACCACATCTTTTTCAACCATTCCTCATGTGATGGGCATCTTGGTGGTTTCCAAGATTTGACTATCACAAATTGTGCTGCTATTAACAAAGGTACACATATATCACTATGATATGACATTTTCATTTTCTCTGGGAAAATTCCTAGTAGGGGGAGAGCTGGTTTGAATGGGATTTCCAGTCCTAGTTTTTTAAGGAGTCTCCACACTGATTTCCATAATGGTTGCACCAATCTACATTCCCACCAGCAGTGGAAAAGGCTTCCATTTTCTCCGCAGCCTCTCCAACATTTGTTGTTTGTTAATTTGTTTATGATAGCCATTCTTTCTGGGGTGAGATGGTATCTCAGTGTTGTTTTAATTTGCATTTCACAGATGGCTAGTGATGTGGAGCATTTTTTCATATATTTATTCGCTTCTTTCATTTTGTCCTCTGAGAAGTGTACGTTCATCTTGGATGACCATTTCTGTATTGGGTCTTTAAATTTTGGGGCCCTAGTGTTTTCTAGTTCTTTATAAATTCTAGAGAGCAGACCTTTTTCTGCATGCTTATTAGTTAAGATTTTTTCCAAATTTGTGAGTTGTTTTTTCACTTTGTTGGTAATTTCTTTTGACGTGCAAAAACTTCTCAGTAAGAGATTGTCCCAGTTGTTAATTCTTTCAAGTATTACCTGTGCGATTTCATTTTTGTTCATGAACTCTTTGCCTACCCCTGTGTCTTCAAGATTTCCTCCTACTTTCCTCTTCAAGGAGATTTAGTGTTTCTGTTTTAATATTTAGATTTTTAATCCATTTTGACTTTAACTTAGTGCATGGTGATAGACCTGGGTCAAGTTTGAGTTTTCGGCATGTAGAGAGCCAGTTATTCCACCAGCATTTGTTAAAGAGGCTATCTTTCTTCCACTACTGGAATTTTTAAACGGTGCTGCAAAAGATCCTTATAACCCAGTGATGGTGCTGGTCATGCACACACTGCAGCAGGCGCACAGAGCTCGTGTCATCAGCTCCGCATTGCCCAGCAGCCAGGCAAGCACAGGGTGTTCAGGCTGAACACCTGATGTTGCAGTGTTGGTACCTTGTGAGTTGCAGTGTGGGCACTCAGTCTCTAAAAGGTTCGCCATCACTGTTTCAGGGTTGGAAAAGTCTTCTCTGTCATTTTGCTACTGGACTGGCCAGTAAGAACAGTATAGTACAGCAACCAAGGGAGAGTGGTCTGTGTCCATCATGAAAAGAAGGCTCTTAGGTGACAGTAGTTGTCTCTCTAGACTTGAAAATTTCACCTTCAAAAAGTTAAGAAAAAGGAAGGATAATTGGAAGTGAGAATAAAAAAGGGGGGAAAAAGAAGAGAAAAAATAGCTCGGCTTAGACATTGAGCTTTCTGATAGGCTCATTCATTCACTAATTCTAAAAAGATTTATTGGGGCCAGTGAGATAGCTCAGTGGACTAAAGCGACTGGTTAGGCAAGTGCAGGGACCACGGTTCACTCCCTGCACTGCATACCACACCAGCCCTGTCCCCAGCGTGGGCTGAACTGGCCAGAGTCCAGGTGTAGTGGTGCAGGCCTGTGATCCCAGAGCTGGGGAGGCTGAAAGCAGGAGAATCACTGTGAGTCCGAGCTGCATAGTGAGACTCTACAACAATCAAATACATTAAAATAAATAAATAAACAAATAAAGAGATTTATTGGTCACTGACTTCTTTATATAGCAGGAATTTTCTTCACTTTAGGGCTTCAACATAAATTATCCAAAAGTAATGGGTGAATATTGGAAAAGCCAATAAAAGTTAAAAAATTAAAATGCCAGGGAAACTCTAAGAATTTAGAACTTCATAATTAAAATTTGCAGCAATGATACAGAACAAAATATTTTCATTTCTGCTTAGCATAATAAATAGAAATAGACTCAATGCCCAATAAAAATGATGAATTTAACAGATGCCAAAGAAAATCAACATTCAGTTTGAGATCTATGGTGGCAACACTGAAAGCAGATGGACTAAGTTCATTTCCTACTTTTTTTTTTTTTAATGAAATGGTTCTCTCAGAAGATATCCTTGCTGTGCTTTATCTTCAACTCTAGGAGACACATACGACTGTATCAATAAAGTAAGAAATAAAAAAGTTTGGAAGGCTGAGGGTTGATTACTTGAATAGGTGCACCAGAAAACCCGAGAACATTCTGGATTATCCTGGTGTGGAGTCTCTAAGAGGAGATGAGAGTGTCCAAGCCCCCCTACAGTATAATTTAGTTCCAGCTCACCCTTACCATACTGCAGAAGCATCACACTTAGAGAGATACTGTTTTGGGTTTGTTTTTTTTTTTTTAAGATGCTTTTTTTAAATTTTTACTTTTAGTTCCTAGCTTAAAAAATGATGGCATGGGGAGGGAAAGAAGGGGAAGGTTTTTTTGTTTTTGTTTTTGTTTTTGTTTTTTTAAAGAAGGAAGATGCATTATGTACATGTATCAGTTCCTCACAAGGAACATAACCATGTACTGCAAACAGGTACTGATTAAAAACTGAAGAAAATACATGACTGAGAGAAAAGTTGCAGAAACTTTTGGCTTTGTGTGTTTACTCTGGCAAGTGAGTACCCTAATTACGTGTCCTCATGCATTTTGACACTCCCATGCCTTTTGCTTGTTTTCTCGTCCCCTGGAGAATATATTATGTGGTGATGTGTGGATTTAGAAATTGTAAACTCGGGTGTGCCCAATGTATTTTGCAACATTTCTGAACTGAGCACATACAAGTGCCTTAGTATGCATGAGGTCTTGGAGAGTCTGGGGAGAAGAGCCATTGAAATGGTCAGGGCAGGGCACTGCCTCAGGTTCCTATGAGGCTCACAAAGACAGAAGGCTGCTCTCACAACCTCCCCATCACTGTTCCACCCCAGGTGTACCAGAGTCTGGAACATGAACTTCAGAAGCATGTCAGCCGGCAGGACACCCTGCAGCAGTGCCAGGCCTGGCTTTCCTCAGTCCAGCCAGACCTAAAGCCAAGCCTGCAGCCACCACTCAGCAGGGCAGAAGCTGTCAAGCAGGTAGTAGACTTCTGGATATTTGTTATTCTTGTGAGTCATACATTCCGTCAAAACATATTAAGTGTAAGGGCTAGGGATTTGGCTCAGCAGCATGAGAGTCTGCCTGTCAAGTGCAAGATGCCAAGCTTGATCCCCAGGACTGAAAAAACAAAAACAAAAAATGTATTAAATGACTTTGATGTGCTGAACTGAGCTGGCTCCTGAGAGTATGGAAGAATAAATAAAGTATGAGCTTGAATCTGTGCACATTCATGGTCCAGCCAGGATAATGTGCTGCCCTGGTAGAAAAGAAAGGACATGGGCTGTGACCAGAGATGAACTCCACAAACTAAATCACTTAATTTTTCTGAGCCTATTTCCTACTGCTTGTGGACACCAGCATCTCTGCAGAGGCTCCAGTCCTCTGTCCAAAATGACATAGAATTTGTATACAACCTACTTAAATCCTCCCAGACATAGACTTTATATCATCTCTGGACTACTTGAAATGCTGGATGCAGTGTAAATAGCTGCTATACGCTTGTTTAGGGAATGACAAGAGAAAAAGTCTATACTCTTTCAGTACAGGCAAGATTTGGGTTTTTTTTCTCTGACATTTACCATTTGTACTTGGTTGAATCTGTAGATGCAAACCCCACAAATACAAAGGGGCAACTGTGTGCATACTTCTGGAAGTTATGATGAATTTCAGTATCATACCACAAATGAATATGATTTATAACAGTAAAGGCAATGCCATCTTCTTCTACCACTTTGTTTTTGTTTTTGGCGTGAGGTGCTTAATAAATACTTACTGAATGAGCGATTGGTGGAATTTAATTCTCATCATGAAAAATGAATTTATTGCATATTATCCCGATAGCCACAAGATTAAAATTTTGCTGCTGGGATTTCATCAGAATATAGGGAAAACATTATTTTTTTTAAAAAAAATTTGTACTCTTCAGTGTTTATATGCAGCATTAATTTTGTAGAAAAACATTTTAGGAAAATTTAGTTGCAAAAGTTATTGCTGCCAGACATAAATTAATGGTATTAAATAAAAAATTCCATTTCCTTACTAGAAACTAAGATTAATATAGTGCTATAGTTCATTTAATCCTCGTATACAATGTGTCTACATAATTCATTCCCAAAGTACTTTCTGGATGAAATGATTTATATTATTTATGTATGAAATAGCTCTCTATATATCAGTATTTTATGAAAAAGAGCATCGGGACAAGTGAAATATGGCTCTTTTTGAGTGACTAGAAAGGATATATTCTGCAGTTTCATTCTTTTTCTTGTGGTTCTGTTATAAATTTATTTTATTTAAGATAATTGAGAATAAAACTGCACTTTTCTCTTTTGTTACTAAGAAAGGAGAAAAAAGTAGTAATCCAAATAACTTTTGGCTAGAACAAGATAAGATTTACTATACTCTGCAGAATAAGTTGTACCTGGAGGCCAAGAGAGCCCTGCAGAGAGGCCCACTCCTGTGCTTCTGGGAAGGTGGCAGAGGTCCATCGCAGAAGCCTTTCCAGGAGCTTCTAAAACAGAAGAGCAGGCTGTGAACTCCCATCAGAGAAAATAAGCCCAGCCATCTGTCATGTTCTGACTCACTCCAGTCAACCTCCAAACTCCCTCTGACCATGATCTTGTCTCCAAAATATACAAAAGCATGTGAGGAAACAGCACAGTAGACTATGGGTTTTTGCACTGAAACAAAAAATAAGTGAGATTGTGCAGCCTAGAGAGTTGTTTTGGGTTTTCCTCTTTCCCAAACTATGCAGATAGCCTTACTTAAAATGAGAAGGGGGAAGGCTAGCCAAATAGCTCAGTGGATTAAAATGCCTGCAAGCAGGCACGGGGGACAGTGTTTGATCCCTGGGCCTGCCATGCTAGCCCTGTCCCCAGGGTGCCCTGAGACAGCAATTGAAACTGGGTGTTGTGGCGCACACCTGTAATCCCAGCTCTTTGGGAGGCTGTAAACAGGTGGATCACTAGAGTCTGATCTAGCAGTGAGACTCTGAACACCCTGTAGACTCTTCCCTAAAAATAAAAAAAAAAAAAAAAAAAAAAGAAAGAAAGAAAGAAAGAAAGAAAGAAAGAAAGAAAGAAAGAAAGAAAGAAAGAGAGAGAAGAAGGGGAAGGGGATTTACCTCAGCAGCAGAGTGCCTGCCTGGCAAGTGTGAGGTCATGAGTTCGATTCTCAGCACCAAAATGATAGATAGAATACTTCCTTTTTGAATTAATCCCTGTAAATCACTAACAAAGGTCAAAGAAATGGTAAAAATAATGATCATGAAGAGATTATTTTTGAAATGCTAACAAATCCTACCAACAGTATAAACATTTGCTATCTAAATAATGCATATGTTGCTCTTACTCTGACAATTGCTTTTGCTCCCAGGTCAAACACTGCAGAGCTTTGCAGGAGCAAGCAAGGACATACTTGGATCTCCTTTGTTCCATGTGTGACTTGTCAAATTCTTCAGTGAAAACCACAGCAAAAGACATTCAACAAACAGAGCAAATGGTAAAAATACTTTTCAAAACACATATTGAATTTTCTATTTCAGTATGCTGTCTTTCTAGAATGTTGTAAGTGAAGTTTAAAGAAACTTTGTATGGTCATTATAATAAGTTCATATGTGAAGTTCAAACAAGTCAGAGACATATAAGCATGCTAATACTTCGGACTGAATTGCAGTTGGATCAGTCAATCCCATCCAACCACTACTCCTTACTACCCTCTTCCTCTTTGCTCCCTAATTACGTCATCTTTTTCCACACTTTTTTGTCCTTTTCTACATTTTTCTTCACATAATGCTTATGTGAGGGACATTTTGTCTCTTTTTTTTTTTAAAAAAAATCAAAGTTGCCAAGTAGTGTGCTTGACGTGGTACTGGGAAGGGTTCTGCACCTGCAGCTGACCTTGGCAGGAAGCCGCAGGATGCCTGGTGAGGCCCTGGCCACAGTACAGCTGCTCAGGAGCCCTGAGCTTGCCCTGCTGCTGCTGTAGCCTTCGGTATTTTCATGCAACAGATTCAAGTTTAGAAGTAAAGTAAGACTAGGTTTTGTACTCAACTTCTGCCATGTTTGCAGGCTAGTAAATGATGGAAAGGACATATGTCTTATTATAATAAAGTTTTCTCCTTCCTATGATTAAAAGGGACCTGCCTTTTATCCTTTATGAAAGATGAAGTAACCTGCATGTTTTACGAAAATAGTTCTTTGAAGCAAGTTAGACCGTTTCAAAGACCAGCAAAGCAGATCTAAATATATATCTGAAATATTAATAACTTAGTTTCAAAAGAAGGGAAAACAAGTGTACATCAGATAAAAATATAGATCTTTTTCAATTATAACACAATGGGCAACACTGTCAGGACAGCTTCTAATCTAATAAATTGTTATGGTCGCTTGGAACTTCACAACACTGATTAAAATCACATAAAATAATTCCTACTCATTTAAATGTTCTAGAAATTCTAAATCCAAAAGAAAATCTACCTTTCTTGAGACAAGTAGAGAGGTGCTCTTCGGGTTCACCTGTGTGTGCGTGCACACGCGCACACTTATGCATGCATGCCTGTGCGCAGGAACACACACCCCCACCCCACCACCCCCCCCCCACCCCACCACCCCCCCCCCGTCGAGGAGCTGAAGTGCTGAAAGTAGATGCTTCTCTCTGTGGCTGATAACTTTTGCTGCTGTGTTCTCTCAAGATCGAACAAAGGCTTGCTCAGGCCCAGAACTTAACGCAGGGCTGGGAAGAGATCAAGCACCTGAAAGCCGAGCTGTGGATTTATCTCCAGGACGCCGATCAGCAGCTGCAGAACATGAAGCGAAGGCATTCGGAACTGGAGCTAAATATTGCCCAGAACATGGTTGCCCAAGTAAAGGTGAGAATTAATTAACTAATTAATTAAGTGGTCAGCAGCTGCATGTGTGCCATCACTCAGACAAGCTGTGTTCACAAAGAAACTGCCCTCGGAGAACAAGAGATTGCCATGACTGTGTCAATGCCGTGGAAGCATCCTCAGAAAAATTTCCTAGAGAACGGGCCCAGGTGGCCCACTGGACGTAAAGGAGCCCACGACAGTAGCAGTGTTGAAACATATTCAGCACATTCGCATCAGTATGCCTGGATGTCTGTCAACCTTTAGACATCAGCGCAACTATTTAAAGAAAGAGAGATCCTGAACAGTCTCCTTTTGGTGTCAGGGAAAGACAGGTCACACAGAAAACTTATATAAGCCATATGCAGTGGCACATGCCTGCGGTGCAGCTACTCAGGAGGCTGAGCAGGATGATCAGTAGTTTCAGGGTTCCCGGAGCAACATGAAGAGACTTTGTCCAGAGAGAGACAGAGAGACAAAGAGAGAGAGAGAGAGAGAGAGAGAGAGAGAGAGAGAGAGAGAGAGGCAAGCACATATATTCTTTGTGTTTAAATCATTTATATTTTGGGCCAGGAAGATAGCTCAGTAGAATAAGCCTAGTCAGTGCAGGGTTCTAAGTTCAATCCCCAGTACTACCAAACAAAATAAATAAATAAAAACATAAATAAATCATTCACTTTTTTAAAAAAAAATATCTATTGGATACAAGGTCTCACTACACAGCTCCGACTCATAGTGATCCTCTTGCATCAGCCTCCTCATGCTGGGATTACAGGCATGCGCCACCATGCCTGGTTTAGGGACTGGCTTAGCACAGCCAGGGTTCGGGGCCAGTGTGGTACGTGGTATGTGGGAGCGAACTTGAGTCCTTGCACTTGCCAGGCAGGCATTTAGACTGCTGAACTATCTTCCCAGCCCCAGATCGCCCTCTTTGGTCAGAGAACATTTACTGTATCTATTTCTGAATAAAGAAGCTATAGTTTAGCTTACAGAGTCAGAAGACAACTGCTAAGCAACCACTAAGCCTTAATAGTTTTCACTCCCATGTTTTGAAAACTATGGGATTTTTGTGTATTGACTGATTATATATTGAATGCGTATATGATTACAGTATAATAAAATATTACTCATATTTATAATATTAAAACAATACAAAATAATTTAAGTATATTAACTTGGTTTTATGTAGGTTCAGATTTTCAACAAACCTTAAGATTTATTTTCCCCCACAATTATGGAGAATTAATTTTCTTATAGAACATTTTTCAAAAAGAAAAATAGAAAACAACATGAATAGTATTCTTTTTTCCACAAAGCACGAAATCTTAAAAGCTTTTTAGGGAATGAATGTCTCACTTCAGTGTAAGAAGTTCTTCTTTAATGATGGTAATGCCATCATGTGAAGCAGTTTTTCTTGGCACTTTTAAAAATAACACAATGAAAGAAAATGCCACAGTTGTTCTGATGCTTCCATGGCTGAGAATTGGTTTGTAAGGCAGTACGGTGAATTTTAGATTTCCTCTTCAGATTTTTCATATTAAAAGATTTTTACATTCCATGAGGATTATGTCACTCTGCATTGAGATGTTCACTTACTGTTTGTTGGGCAGGGTTCACTAGGCATGACCTGGTTTTTGTGATTATTCTTCAGGATTTTGCTAAACAACTGCAGTGCAAACAGACCTCCATGAGCGCTATCTTAGAAAAGGTGAACAAGTTAACAAAGAAGCAGGAGTCTTCCGAGCACAAGGAGATAAGTCACTTAAATGACCAGTGGCTGGATCTATGCCTTCAGTCAGATCAGCTGCGTTCACAAAGGGAGCAGGACCTTCAGCGAACGAGGGATTACCATGACCGGATGAATGTGGTCGAAGCATTCTTAGAAAAATTCACTACGGAATGGGATAACTTGGCCAGGTAATAGAAGTTCTCCAGTGGGTCCTCATAATGCTTGGCCAGATTTGTCTTTATTTCTTCAAAGATTTTAAATTTCTTATTTGTACTGTTACCATCATTAAGACCAGTACCAATATTGGCAACACATTAAGAACCTACTGTTGTCAGGGCTGGCCAGATAGCTCAGCAGACTAAAGCGCCTGCTTAGGTAAACACAGGGAACAGGGTTTGATCCCCAGTGTGCTGTGCCAGCCCCGCCCCCAGGATGCGCTGAGATGGTGATTGAGACTGGGCATGCTAGTGTGTGCCTGTAATCCCAGCTTTTGAGAGGCTGAACACAGGTGGATCACTATGAGTCTGATCTATGTAGTGAGACCCTATAGACCCTGTACCAAATACATAAAAATAAAAATAAAGATTAAAAAGAACCTACTGTTTTCAAATGGGTACAGACTCATGAGCTTAGTATGATTTACCAGTGGGCAAAATAGAAATGCTTCACAACAGCACTGTTTCATCAGGTGTGGTGGTATATGCCTGTTATCCCAGGCAGGAGGATCATAATTCAAACCACTGTGGACAACTGAGTGACTTAGCGAGATGCTGTCTCAAAATAACATACAAAACAGGATGAACATGTATCTCAGTGGGCAGGCTCTGTGATCTATCTCTAGTACTGTACCAGGAGAAAAAAAGAAAAAAATCAAATAACACTTTCTTCACTGTGAACGCAAAAATATTCCAAAGACTATGACTCCATGACCCTATGGATTGTCTTAAGAATACTTCTAGTTTTGTTTAATTACCAGTGGTGGGGCTACGATCTGCAGGTTCATGAAGTGAGTCCTTCCTGAATGGATAAGCTCCAGGAATGTCTATCATGTCAAAAAGCAGCATTCTCTGTAATTCGGTCACACTCAGTCATGTTCTAAAAGAATGGTAAACAATCCAAATTCAGTTATTTGTTTTCTTTGGGATTTTCCTTTCTTTCTTTCTTTCTTTCTTTCTTTCTTTCTTTCTTTCTTTCTTTCTTTCTTCTTTCTTTCTTTCTTTTTCGTACAGGGTCTCATTACACAGCTCAAATTCATAGTGATCCTCCTGTTTTCTACCTCCCCAGCTCTGGGGCTACAAGCATGCACCACCATGTCCGGACTCAGTCATGGGCTCAGCGTGCCCAGGGGTGGGGCCAGTGCAGCTTAGGGTATCAGGATTGAACCCTGGACCCTGAGCTTGCCTAAGCAGGTGCTTAGTCTGCTGAGCTATATCGCTGGCCCTTCCTTTGATATTTTGCACTGATGGAACCCCTGTTGACTGTTTTCTTGGTCAGCACATGAAAGTATTTTCTTACTTTTGATTAACATAATTCTTAAAATCTTTACTTGCACTGATATTTTTGAGTTTGTTGCAATAAGAAATGCTCAACATTTTTCTGCACATTGTTAAATCATAGTAAGGGTTTGTGTGTGTGTCTTCGTGCGGTATTTTCTAGTATATTTACTCTTCATGATGCTCAACACCTTACTGGCCTTTAGGAGAAAGCCTGTATATCTCAGCAGAAAGCCCCATATTTGTGGCTTGTAATAGGCCTACAGATACCTCAGGCCTACATGTCCATGACAGAATTTATCACTCTTCCCAACCATTCTTTGTGTACTACAGAGCTGGTCATTTTGTAAGTGTAAGAGACTACAATAGATACCGTGAAAGGAAAAGAAACTGTTCGAATGAAAGGAATAACTGGGAAGAGGGAAACAAGTAAAGAAAGTAGGAAGGGAAAAAGAAATATAAATATATACGCAGCATAGCTTGGATAATTGTACTGCTGATTTCTGCTGTCCTATTGAGAAGAGTAGTTAATGCTTATATTTTTTTCTCTCACCTTTATACATATTTTTAATTAAATAATTTATTTATTTGATACAAGGTATCACTATGAAGCTTGGACTTGTACTGATCCTCCTGTTTCAGCCTCCCCAGCCCTGAGATTATAGGCATGTGCCACCATGCCCAATTTCAGTGGCCAGCTCGGTGCAGAGCCAGCATGGCATGCGGTACCAGGGATTGAACCTAAGTCCTTGTGCTTGCCAGGAAAGTGCTTAGATCACCAAACTATCTCCCCGGCCACC